CTGCGGCAACGACAATATGGACGAGATCGAAGTGGATATGTATTGTAGCGTATAGCTACGGCAACGACAATATGGACGAGATCGGAGTGGATATGTATTGTAGCGTACGGTGGCTGCAAGTACAATATGAATATGTGATGTGGCGTACTGCTGCTGCAACGTCAATATGGACGAGAATACATGAGCTCTATAATCATTCCCATCCGTTGTTTGTATCGAATTGTACGCTAGTGACCCAGGATATTTTGGCGGCCTCTGCGGCCTTGGATCTGTCCGAGTACTCGAACAACCAGACGGGCATCCCCATACGCCTTGTAGGCATTTACTTCATCCCACTCGGCGCTTTCTTCAACTATTACCCCGTCCATGTACGGTTCCAGTTTTTCGGCCAGATCATTAGACAAAAACGCAGAAGCAATGGTGAAAGGCATGGGAGATATGTCATGCATGTAGTCTTGTACAATGTATATATATGTTATACAAGACTACCTATATAACCTACTCGTGTAAGTTACACACACACACACACACACACACACACATAAATATGTGTATATGTATATATCAATATATGTACGTATACATATATTACTACATGCATATTCATACCATGCCCCAATGTCTCACGCTGGTTGGGGGTGTTTTACGACCATGCACCAATATTATTGACAAGCTACAAAACACCTGTCCGATACACCGGAGGCGCGGACTGTTTCCTGGGTACCTGAAACAGCTATACCTCGTCGTGTACCAAAACCGATACAATCTTTCACAGCACTGGTTGACAGAAATGCTATTGTTATTGCAGTTCACGGACCATTTCAGATGTAAAAATAACGGGTTCTTTATAGTAGTTGCACAGTTAACGTATTTTATAAACGTGTTAACGTGTTTAACGAATTGGACATGAACAAGAATGGCGTAATTCAAATTTCTGAACATATGACAGTACTCATTAGAGTATGGGACTCTACTGTGGACAATTAGGTGGCTTTCCAAATATAGATTGGTTTTTCCACTGAAATTATAATAGTACTGAACACCAATCTGACACCTGAAAATAACACTTTGGGAATCGCTAATTATTGAGAGTACCATGAGAGAAGGTCTCAGGCATGAAATTGTTGTTGGTACAAACCTATGGTATAATTCGAAAATGATCTCAGAGCAAGATAATCCACTGAGAATAGGACAGCATGGTTTTGATTCCTCCTAGCCAGCCAACTAGATGTGCCCGCCTATGCCTTAAATGGGATGAGAAGCTAGGTACCAAGTGATGAGGTTTAGGCGCAGATGGATACTGCACCAGCTTGGTGTTTTGATTTTATTTTTTATTTAATTAAGTTGGACTTAGAGGTATTTTATTGGTTAGTTTGATTAGGTGATTGTTTCGAGGCGTGAAATGTAGAATTGATATCTAGTCTCGGTAACTAAAACATAAATATATCTAGACCGAAGTAGTGAGTGATTAAAGCCAAGCATATAGACAATAGTCTCAGTCTAAAATCAGTCTAAAATTCCTTAATCGTTTGCTCATTACCAAGGGCTGAAGCTAAACTTATTTAACATTTTGCATTCTAACGTTTTAACGTATTGTATTATTAACATAAACGTTTTAGTATCGTATAGTCAGCCTCGAGGAGACCGACTTTTACACAGACTACGAATAGGCGACCGCCTCGAAGCCCTTAAGTGTATGATCTACCCTGACGACGGGTATTCCGGGGACTGCAACGTGTAAATGGCACAAATCAGTAGGCATGCTTGCCATTCCTCGACTTGGATGTTACGTGCTGGGCGGCACGACTGCACCGCCACGTGTCCGAGATGGTATTCTGCGCTCCAAACTGCTGAAAGAGATCAAGTCCTTTGGGCAGACGCCTCGTAGAACCCTGTCTGCTTTAACAACTAACTATGTACCATCCCGCACGGCCGTCCAAGTCCCTTAAGCACGGTAGACCACCACTAGTGCCCTTGGAGCCGGTGTCCCTCGCACAAGCACTGTCCCCCCCCCCCACCTCCCTACTACTACTATTGCGACTACCACTGCCACCCCTATGAATGAGGTAAGGCTACTCAGCACCCCTGCCACCCAAAGAAATCTCACCGCCAACGTAGTCCAGAATCCTTGTCTATAGCCGCAGCAGCCGCTACCACACCTGCTGCATGATTGAAATACTATTGTCGAAGGAAAGCGAGTAGAGGCTATGAGCTTGTTTCTGCTGCGGATGTCCGAGATTTATATAGACCTTCTCTCGGACTAAAGTTGATACTGTCGTACGTAGAGCCACTTTGACAGTACATTGGTTGCCGATTGTTTGCAACTCAAGGATTTGAACTTGTTTATAGAACTTTTGTATTCAGATAAAAACCCCGAATCTTAAAACACACGCATCTCTTGGTGGGACTTGCCGCCAAAAAAAAAATCAATCAATCATTACACATAGTTTGATAACCGCACCTATACCCATCTAACATACCATCGAACAAAAGCGTGTGATTTGGTATGTTTAAAGTTTATTGGTGTTTAGTGTTTAAAAGGCGCTTCAAGCCTCTCCCGCCGGCCAGAGCTTAAGGGCTGTTTGGCAGGCCATAGTGCCAGGACAAGCTGGATGACGGGACGGACTGCCCAAAACTGACTTATACAAAGTTTGAAGATTTCCAGCTCATATTTACAAGTGTACGATTATCCAACACATATGCCAGGTAGTAACAAGATTACAACGTATTAAGACCATCTCTTTGTGAAGTAAAATTATGTCCTATTGATCCCGTGACCCGCACTCGTGACGGAGCAGCAATCGTGTCTTGTACACTAGGAAACTCATATTAGATAGCAATTTGCACTTCAATTTGTTGTAAATCAATCTAAATATGACAAATACACTAAAGCATAGCTTTTGAAACAATCCACCAGCAGTTTCATAAACGTTACTTTCCTATAGGCAAATATTATGTCGCCCCTGTGTGAATGCGGAAGAAAATCCACGATGAGATAGTTGGTATGTCATATCACTATTAAAACCCAGCCTCTAGGGAATTTAAGTAGGTTCCATTTTGGTTTTACCTTCTACAAGAAAATAAAAAATGTCATATACTCTAGTCTAGTAGGCGGCATACACCCGCATACACAAATACACACACTA